TAACTCAAGTAATAGTGGGTTATAGGTATGGCATATAGTGTAGAATCTAGCAATAGGTAGATATTTAATTAGGCACTCAAAAGGTATAAGTATAGCTAGAATATATCCTCATCAGAATGTACTTGTCTGAAGCCCTTTTGAAAAGAGCACTATATGATCCTAAAAAGTCTAATAAAAGCGAGAAGCCAAAGAGGCTAACCTTGACTACAAAAAAGAATTTAATTTAGTTTAAATTAGTTAGATTTTATATATTATAATCTTGTAAAATTTATATATGTCTACCTATACTAAGGAAGATCTAAAATATTTGTTAATGCCTTCTTTTTTAAATCTTGTATATAGTTAACTATGATCTAAAATTAGAATTTAAAAATCTAATTGTTTGTTCTTGCTGCAGAATCATAGAAATACATTTGTGTGATTGGCTAATTGATATTGATTTAACAGATTATACTAATAATAGATTATTATCATTATTGTTACATAAAATTTTAAACATAATTTTTTTAAAATTTAAAAAAAGCTATAAGCTGTGTTTTGGTTTGATATGCTTCAGATTATAAAAATTGTTAAGACTATATGAGGTGTTATCAATAGAAACAGCTTATTTTTACATATATATTATTTTGAATAATTGAGTTTAATCATTTGTTTTGATTTTTAGACTGATTCAAGATTAACAAATTTCACAATTTTTATTAGTTAAAGGTAGCAGATAACTATCAGGTAATTTCGTAATATATTGGCTCTATAAAGCCTTATGTAATTTTTCTTTTACATTATCTCAATTTTTTATCATGCAAATCAACTTTCAATTATAATTGAAAAATGTTGCTCATGTCAAAATTTATATAAATCTAATAAAAACTCATTTTTTAAAAAATTGTAAAAATGGGCTGTTTCTATTTGAATATTAATGATAAGACTATGTCTCTATTTTTATTGAAATTTACTTTAATTCTCTTATATAAAAAGAATACATTTAAACTTCATATTCTAAAATAACAAAAAAAAAAACTCAGACTAGTTTATCTATAGCCTAAACCAAAATGAGCTGTTTCTATTGATAACACTTCATATATAAAGTAAAAATATTTTAACATAACTTTGTAAAATAAATGTTAAAACTTCATTACCAAGTTTGGTGTCAATTTATTATGCAATTAAGGCTAATAATTATTTAAATCTTTTAGAATACATTTGCAGTTTTGCTTTAAATATAGTTTGGTAAATATTGTTATATATAAAGATAAACAAACATCATGCATCTTATCACTGCATGTATTAATAGACATTTATCATAATTTATATAATAAAAATTTTCTTTGTTTTTAGTTATAATTAAAAAAATCTGCAATATTGTAAATTTATATAAGACTAAACATATGTTTGATTTTATTGGATGATCAACCACCCCAATGGGACATTAACTGAGATATAAGACACTGTTTGGAACTGTCTGTGTTTTTGCAAATTTAATAAGACAACGTCTATATACAACACTGCTTCAGATTATACTCCAACCAAAGCAATACTCCAGAGTAGTGATTTGAACTGAGAAAATTTTCCTTAATCGGTTAACCGAACTAAATTATTTCATTCAACCGATTGCCAACTGGTTAAGATTAACTATCTATTACCATCAGAAATTTTCAGAAATTTACTCTCTTGTCTTTATGTTCATTCATTTTCTTTTCAGAACTTTTTGAACCCCTTATTCTCTCCTTACATCATTTTCATATTATATTGATTCTGCCAACCGATTACCCAATTCTCAACCAGTTGTATTAGGTCAACCGATTAAGAATTTCCTCAACTAGTAACTAAAAATTATTCAGTTCAGGTCAATTAACCGATTATAGCCCAACTGATTCAAATCACTATTGGTGTACTTTCTTATATTGCTCTAGAGGATAAAAAAATATACCACATTTTCGTGGAATAACGCTCATGAGTGTTATTTCGAAAATTGCAACCCTAAAAATAATATACATAGCTTCAAAATAACGCCCATGCGCGTCCCGAAATAACGCGCATCTTATAGTAAGGGTCTTATTTACAACAAATGCTCCGAACTAGATTTACTTAGTATCAACCTAACTCCGGAACATTTATTGTTTTAGACAAGATGCTTAAAATTTTTACATTGTCTCAAAATAACGCCCATGCGCGTACTCAAAATAACGCGCATATACTCAAAATAACACGAAAATACGGTACTAAGAAATCGGATATTTATTCTTTTGGATAATCATGTCAGAAGTTTTTACTGGATATCCTCCATATCATGGTATTCCACATGATTTTAGCCTAGCAACACAAATTTGTCTAGGTCGTAGACCCGTAATAAGGTGTAAAGTTTCACAATTACTTTTGGATTTGATGAATAACTGCTTAGATGCTGAACCTCAAAGCAGACCAACTGCTAAAACGTTAGTAGATAGGCTATTTCATTTTGATGAAGATTTGAGAATGAAGAAACAGATTTATATAAACAAGTTGAAAAAATTAAAGACTCTGGCAAACATTCTTCAATACATGATCAAGCAAATCAACCAAAATCTCGATTTAATCATCAAACTCACTCACAAACAAGTTATTTATACAAGCAGTTCAAAAACTCCTTAACTAGTAAATGCAGGTAAGCATATTATCTCTCAGAACATTGGCCTTAAATTATATTTTGATGTGCAGACCCTATGTACCATATCGTCGCGTATAACACCCGGGGCGTTATTTCGAGACAAAATTTTAAAACGAGTTAATAATTAATTTGGCCGAAGATTTTTTTTAAACTTTAATATTTATTTAATAGTAAAGTTAAAAAAATCTTCGGCAAAATTAATTATTAACTCGTTTTAAAATTTTTTGTCTCGTTATTTCGCGACGATACGATAATGAATAGTTCAAGAATTGAATTGTATTTAGTCTTTAGCATTGAATATCCTTTTTATTGTGAGTTATAAGAAATTAGACCAACTAATTCTTAAATTTATTTTTCTAGCAGTAAGTCATCCTATTGAGCTTAACGAAGCGCCCAATATATAATTAGCTAAATTTTCCATATTGTCCGTCTTTGGTAAAGGCTGAAATGTCTCATAGCATTTAAAAATAAATAAATATCAGCCGGAAGATGATTTTCAAAGTAGATTTGAATTCTAAAGCTTTTGGTATCAAAATATTTTTATCTTTGTACTTCGATACATTATCTACATACGGTAATCGTTTAACTATTTCTATTGGTCAAGAACTCATTAAAGGTATTATGAATAAATGCTATTAATACTACTATATTAAATTTAAATTTTCTAATGTCTTTAGACGTGTTAACGTACGTATGTATTTTTGTTTTGTAAATTGGTCATGTCAACCAATCAAATTTCAAACTTGATTTCATTAATACGTAACTTAAAGTGCCATTTCAAAATAAGATACTTCAAAAGTTTTTAGCATAAGAGGAAAAAATATAGGCCATTTAAACATATGGAATAATAATTTTTTGTTATAATGAAAAGAACGTTAGTTGTATTTTAGGATATATGTGTTAGCTTAGAAGCGAAAACTGTCCTTTCTTATAAAACATATAGATAGTTCTATTATTTCATTTTTTTTCCTGATATTTCGCTCGACCGCTAATGGTTTAATGATTTTTTTCAATTGGTAAAAACTAAGAATGAACTCGTAAAGATTAAAAACATTTGCAACAATTTATTAATAATTGTATATATTTTCAATCGTATTTACAACAATGTTAACAGACAAAAATAAAAACAATAAGCATTTATTAATTATAGTAATAATAAAAGACAGTAAAAAAAAAAAAAGAAATTTGATAATAATATCTAAAAGTTCTCATATATTGTATAAAAATTTCTAACTAATTCTCTTTCCATATATCATGGATCGTTTAATTTGAAGTATTAACGATCACAAATTCATCATCGTTCTCTTCATTCGTCACGTTTATATTTTCCACACCCTCCATAGGTGATGTGATAGCTTGTTCATTTGGAGATTGTTTTTTAATTTGAGTTAAAGCAGCTTCATTGCTTTCTTCAACATTACTATCAACAACAATTAACGGTTTGCGAGCGTCCATAGTTTCATTATCATTGAGATTTGTCGATTAATTAGAATCGAATACGGTGTTGTCAATAAAATCGAAATCGTTTTCGTCATCTCTTGTATGGATAGATTTCGTGTCTTTAGTTTTGTTTTCAATGTTCACGTCATCTTGTGATAAAATTGTATATGGTTTGATTTCTTCTGCCTCTGATGAGTTGTTTAAAGTATCAATAACTTCATAGGTAATCACATCCTCTTTATCGTCATCGATTGTTTCAATAATAGCATCATCAGTAACTTCTTCATTAACTATATCCTTTTCGCCATCGTTTTTTTCAATAACATCATTGTTGATAACTATATCCTCTGTATTATCAATGTTTTCAATACTTTCACTATTCTCGTTTTCAATCCTTTCGTTATTCTCGTTTTCAATGCTTTCACTATTCTCATTTACAACGCTTTCACTATTCTCATTTACAACGCTTTCACTATTTTCTAACTCATCGCAAAACAATTTCCACTGTCTATCTTTTTCAGCATCCAATTCTTCCAACATTTTTTGGGCAATTTTAACAATTTCTTTTCTTCTATCCCGAACAATCTCATTTCCTTCACTTTGCACTTTATCCAATTGATCAAGGATTTTCAATATGGAGTCTTCTTGTATAAGAAACATCTTATTATTTTCTGAAATTGGAAATATTTGTTTTCCTGCACCTTTACTCGTAAAAGTAAGCGTTCCGAAACTTTGGTTTTGAGAACTCAAGGAATTGAGTAGGTTTTGTAAATTTCGGAGATGTAAGAGCCTTACAAGGATTTTTCGAGTTCTATGTGTTGAAGGTTGATGTTTTAGGAAGTTATATATTTTTTTGGCAGCTTGTTGTTTGGTGAAAGTATTATTATTTCGTTGTTTGGTGAAAGCATTATTATTCTGTTGTTTGGTGAAAGCATTATTAT